CTCATCTGGCTGTCATTACAGACAGGGCCCTTTTTTCACCTCAACATACTTGCCTGTATGTATGCCGGCAGTAAGGAAACAGCTGTTTTCAAAGCCGTTGTTTTGATCTGCAAGTCCAAAGACAGTTAGTAGCTCCTTTAGTTGCGCATTTCCACTGGCATACAGGAACTGACCTGTAACTGAGCCGTACAACAAATAGAGGCTAGTTACAGCATGGCTACAGGTCGCCTTGGTTTTCCACTGCAGGAGGACTGGCTTTGTTGGGTTTGGAGAGCGACAGTGATGTAAAAACACTTACTTACCGTTCATGATTTACTATGCGCTAATTTCCGATAATCTGTTTGAATCGTTGTGTTATGTTAGCATCAAAGGCTAGCGGAATTAGCATTTGCTTGCGTAAATTTGCATTAGAAATACATTTTTGTTCTATAGTACTTTTTTAAGATGAAATTTTCCAAGTTCCGAGTTTGGGAATTCATGAATTCATCACAATTTGTGATACTACTAATAATGAATAATATATAAAATGCTTTTTCCTATAATCAGAGCAGAAAACCAGTATCTCCGTGCATTCTGACCAATCAGATGGTGGTGACACAGCCAGCTTGCTTGGTCATGCTTTTGGCCGTGCTCAAGATCTAAGATCTTTCTTGTAACATTGACATGTTTTGGTTTCCTCAGTAGCTAACAGCCCAGAACAGCCATTGCCAGCCCCCTCCTCCTTGACTCCCCACTCTTAGCCAGCCACCTTCCCACAAACTCCTTCCTGTAAATCGTAGACACTCATGCCTGCTTGCCATAACGGTCCAATCATCGGCAGCATTCCCAGTCCGTGTAACCATCACCGGGCTAGGCACCTCCTCAGCTGCTAGCGGAGGGTGACTCTGTCCATGTGGTCTTACCCAGGAGTCAGACGATGAAGACGGGCTGCCCAAGAAGAAGTGGCCCACTGTGGACGCCTCGTACTACGGGGGCCGGGGAGTCGGTGGCATCAAGAGGATGGAGGTAACCCTAACCCTAACCCTAATCCTAACCCTAACCCTAATCCCCATTTGGTCAAATATGGCCAAGCTTTCATCAAGGCAGATTGGAAGACCAGAAGATTGGAGTGATACACAAAACCATTAGCGACACATCGGTATCAATGATGGTACTTCCTTAAACATTGTTGAATTGTTTCCGTGTATCTCTGCAGGTGCGCTGGGGGGGGAAGGGTTCTACCGAGGAGGGGGCCAAGCTGGAGAAACCCAAGAACGCCGTGGTCAAGATGCCGGAGCAGGAGTATGAGCCCTTCGAGCCCAAACCGAAGAAGGCAAACAACAGGAAGCCAGCCCAGGACAGGAAGTGGTACTCGCCAATCCGGGTGAGTAGCCATCACTTTCTGGCCCCACCCCCTTCCGGCCGTCTGCTCTCCATCTCAGGCTCACCTCCCCCGTATCTCCCTTCTGCAGGGTAAACTGGATGCGCTGTGGGCCCTGTTCCGGCGAGGTTACGACCAGGTGTCACTCATGAGGCCCCAGCCTGGCGATCAGGTGGGTATCAGCCTCGTGCTGCGCGCCGTGGCCACTGTCACAGTCTCCTGGAGATTGAAACTCATGTGTACAACCCTGTTCCCTGGGTTCCTTTGGATATTGAACTTGGTTTGGTCACAGGTTTCCTACGTCAATTTGCTTACAGGTCACCCACCTGTAAGTAGATTCTGCGGTCACGTGGTAACTAGTTTAAACAAGGTTGTTTTGGTTGAGGGAGGTGGCATGATGGTGCAGCAGTTGGAACTGCTGACTTACAGCTCTGGGACCATGTTCGAGTGTCTGCCGTGGCTCCATGTGTGTGGAGTTTGCATGTTCTCCCGTGTCATCATTGGGTTTCCTCTGGATACTCTGGTTTCCTTCCACAGCCCAAAAACATGCTGAGGCTAATTGCAGTTACCAAATTGCCCATAGGTGTGCGCATGTGAGTGAATGGTGCGTGAGTGTGAGTGAATGGTGTGTGAGTGTGAGTGAATGGTGTGTGAGTGTGAGTGAATGGTGTGTGAGTGTGAGTGAATGGTGTGTGAGTGTGAGTGAATGGTGTGTGAGTGTGAGTGAATGGTGTGTGAGTGTGCCCTGCGAAGGGTTGCCTTGTACTTATGGGATCCAGGGCCCCGCATCCCTGACTAGGACAAGGGGAAAACAGATGGATGTTTTGGTTGCAGGTTCAACACCTTTCGCCTGATTTTTTCACCACAGATATTTCCATGTCTAACCAGTTTTTCTCAGGTTGCTTGAGTCTTTGGCACCATGGTCTGCAGGGACCTGTTAATATCATTGTGACAGCATAATGTTTTACTGGAATTCCTCGAGAAGTAGCGGTGTCTGCCATAAATGGCTCAGGTCGGTTGGGGAGTGAGGGAATGCAACCGAAAGGGTCCCAAACTGAGAAAAACATGTCTTCTGCTTCTTCAGTCTCACGCATGGCCGTATGGGTCCCATCCGAGTTTTAATCCCAGAAAACTTTCGCATATGCGAAAGGTCACATTTTCTCCCCCTCTTTATTCCCTCGTTTTATTGCCCAGGAATCATTTCCTTCTCTTTGGCTACGTGCAGCGATGACGCCGTCTTGGAGCCGGACATTTAGCCGCGGAATATGTAACAGGATAATCCTCAGCTGGGTGCAATTATCCTGTAAATGTGAAAGAATTGCTGTCTGTGACATTCCTCTCTGACGATGAGGGCTGACTCCCCATTTGGGGGGGCAGGGGGGGGGGGGGTTTAAAGATGATCCTTCATCAGAAATCCATAATTAATGAATGCAAGCCTGGGGGGTATGGAACAGTGTGAGAAATAACACTGCAGAGCACTTTGGTGGTAATTCTGCATTCCGTGTGCGGTGACTTGGCTTGGGCTTTCACGGCGCTACCAGCGTGACCCGAATGGACCCCACAGCTCCGCATCACTGACCCAACAGGCAGTTCGTCATGGCAACTCATCTGCCGCCACTCAATGCCGCTATTCAGCCAGACCATGTGGCCCCAGCTGCACCCCCATTAGAATTGGGAGTTACTCCATAAGGGGACAAGCTGCTGCACTGACACAGTTCTTGATTTTGTTCACAGTTGGGGGGGGGGGGGGGGCTGGCCACATGCGACCTTTAGTCTACAGATAAATGAGATCCTTACCCACCATAGCAGCTGGCCTGTCGTCTCATTTCAAGTTTTCATTGTCAAGTGTTCCAAGGGACACTTAGATTCTTATGCTACAGTTACAGTGTAGGACATCGGTTAAAAGGACGAGCGGCACTGCAATACAGGACAGTAGTGCAGTACCTAATCTCACATTTCTGGGACTGGAGTAGGGCTGCCCCTAGTGGCAGGGCACGGCGTAGCAGCACACAGGGAGTATTCAGCAGGTTAGCTAATCCAGGACGATCTCCATACATGGAAAGATGGGCTGCCGGGCTGGGCCGTATATTAGCCACGGCGACGCAGCTCAGCGGATAGAAAGGGAACGAGACATGAAGACGGCAGCTTGAGGATGCTGGGACAGGTTTAACTGAACGAAGGAGAGGAACAAAGACTAATGGCAGCGCTCAGGGGAATGGCTGTTGGGTGGGGGAGAGATGCTGTGGCAGCAGGGTCTGGGGGGGGTTCCTGTGCAGGGGAAGAATGTATCTTAGGTGAAGGACTTGGTGCAGTTCATGAATGGGCTTGTCCCACCCCAGAACCACCCTGCTTCCAGGCTCCTCTAAGACCTTAAAATTACAACATGACCCCAGATACAGTTGATTGGTTGTTTTCACCAAGTTCTCTCCTCTATCTCCCTCCCTCTCTCGCCATTTCTGTCACTCTGTCAATCTGCTTCTTTTTCCCGCTTCTTACAACAGAGTCTATTCAAGCAGATCTTTCTCCCAAACAATTCCCCCCCCCCTCCCCCAACAATGGCCACATCATTCCATCACGCCCAAAATTCACCGAAACAGGCATCCTCTCGCCGTCCGTGTTACCAAAACTCTGTGCACTGGCACAGAAAACGCCAGGAAACCAGAGATCAGTTAGGAAGCGTCGAATAAACAAGCCCCAAACAAGCAGCAGAGTGGCGGTGATGAACTCTCCCGAGTTCGCCAATGTTTTTCCAGAGCCCGCTTGGCTTTTGGAGATGCCAGCCAACGTGTGGTCAAGGGCGGGTGCCCACTGGACTTCGCTATCTGCTGAGCTGCCGTTCTCATTTCTGTCACCTGCCAAAGGAAACAGATGGCATTCACCTTGGCGCACCCCACCGTTTAACGAAAATAGATATACATCAGCATTTTGACTCACTGTGACACCATGTGAATTTGTGTCTTTTTCCCCGTTACGTTTTTATTTTACCTGTTGTTTGCGGGGGTGGGGCTCAGCGGATTAGGCTGATGTGCCTGTGATCGTAAGGTGTTTAGGTTCAAATCCCTTGGTCGGCAGAGTGATGTCACCGTTGGGCCCTAGGAAAACATCATATTGGACTCCTGCCGCAAACTAGTCCAGTTACGTTCCATTTTTTTTAGGGCCCCTATCTCTCCTCCCTTAAAGGTACCCCAGCTGACTAGATGGGCTTTTAACTTTTGCTGCTGGGGTGGCCAGGAGACCGAACTGCAGCTACTAACAGGGTTTTTAAAAGCACTTTTCTCCCTGTTTTGGACAGACATAAGGACTTAAATTCTGTACTTTTGTACAGACACATAGGGCAGCATTTTTAAAAATGTCACCCTCACTCACAAAGCGTGGTCTCTTTCTCCCCCAAAAAGTCCAGGCAGGCAGAACACAAATGTTTTCATTGATGCCAGCCACTCTGAATTATGGGAAATGTGAGGACAGTAGCAATGAGAGCCTTTTCTGAATGGTATCTGAAGCTGTTTAGCATCAGGGGCTATGGGCGCGTCATTATGGGAGCCTGGCCAGATCCTAGCGGGTCCAGCGGGCAGAGAGGATTTGGCAGACACTGCGAGAGCAACCATACAACGGGGACGACAAACCGGTCGCCATGCTGCTTTTTGCCTGGGGGGGACTGTCATTCAAACATAGTAGAACACTTTAAATTCCTCACCAGCTTTTTGGTAGAAGTGGGGACACAAGGTAGATTAGCCATACTTTTGATGCTGGGGTGGGGGGAAGACACATGGGGGTATTAGGGTGAGGGGAGGGCGTCGGCACCTACTAACTGTCAATCCAGCAGCTGGCTGAAGTGCCGGGGGGGTCACCACCCTAAACTGGATGGCTGGAAGTTTATCATGTTTTTTTAATGGTTATTTTTCCCTTTTTTCAGGGTCGATGTATCAACTTTACCCGGGTGAAGGAGGAGGCAGCCCGGGCACCCCCCCGGACGCAGCATACGCCTCCCCCACCTGACTATCGGCCCCTGATCCAGCCCAGCACTCCGCCTCCCTCCAGCTGCCCGACCTACAGTCCCGCCCCCCAAAGTCAGCTGCCACCGAGGCCCCCACCTTCCCGCGCACCTCCAGGCCTCCACGGTCCCCCACCCACACGGCCGCCCCCTTCTCTGGACCGCCCATGAGACCGGCAAAGGACCCCGCCCCCCCATGCAGCCTAAGCTTTTTAAAAAAAATAATAATAATAATAATAATAATAAAAAAAAAAAAAATCTCTCTTGACCACAAAATATTCAGTGTCTGTTCAGGGGCTGGGGATCCGTGTATGAGTTGTCGTTTGTTGCAGGACAGCAAAAAAATATATATAAGGAATAAAAATGTAATTTGAGGAAAAAATATTAACTACTGAGAATCCAGGAAAATGTTCCAGTCCAGATAACCGCAGATCGCGATCCGATTGTTATTTTTCTTGATGTAGCTCGTGCCGCGTGATGACATTGATGAACGGGAAGTCGGAACTTGGCCGTGGGATGATCGAACCCCGTTAAAAATTATGATCCCCGTATTTCACAGTTAGCCGGAGGAGGGCAAAACCAAAAATTGCCAAGACCCCTTTTCTCCAGCAAAACTGAATTATCAGATGCCAAAGGTTTAAAATGTAAGAGATGTCCAACCAACTACCTGATCGCAGCCAAAAACAGGCCTATAAAAGGTGTCTGGGACAGTGATTTGGCTTCGTACAGCCTACAGCCAGCCAGCCAGTCCTAATCTAATGCCTTTTCCCCACAGACAGACAACCGCAATGTGCAGGGACACATAACTCAGAGACGTTTGGTTGATTTTATTTTTATGCGCACTCAGGTTAGCATCTGCCTTCATGCCTTAATCGGGCAGAAGCACCAAAGCCCTTTACTAGTTATCGCTGGTTATATGCGGACAAACGTCCATGCGAGTAAAGCGGATGCAGAGAAGTTACGTTACGGCGATTGTGCAAATGCCAGGTAGAATCTGGAAAGCTTTTCGTACGTCTGGAAGTGGCTTTCTGTCATAAATAGGAAAGCGGGTTTACAGTGAATATGAAGCCTGTCCTTGGAAGAGATTTAGTAAGAGATTTTGAAGCAGATTTGGGGAGCCGAAACAGATCTGATGCGTTGTTAAAATTCACCCGTTGTACAAACGATCATTTTGCTAACACACAAACACAAATCAGTCGTATAAAGTCTATGGTATATATATTCCATAACTGTACTGTATATTAATGTGTTTTTATCAGTTTTTCTCAGCAGACTCATTGCAACTGCAGGGCAGTTTTCAGCTTCTAATTTATAAAACCCAGAATCTAATAGGAAGGTACTTGAATACGACAAGGTGTCCGGTGTTAAGTCAGGGCACTATGCATGTGATTAAAATAAATGTAAAAAAAATAAATCAGTTAACCTCATTTAACACAAGTGCCTTCTACTAGTGATGGACAATTGAAGCTTCATGAACCATTTGCTGTATTTTTTTACCCCACTAGATGGTGCTCTTGGCTTGCTTTGGGGCATGCTTTGAGCCCTTTTATGAACAAAGAGCACCATCTGGTGGGGTCAGAAAGTACAGCAAATGGTTCATGAAGCTTCGTTTGTCCATCACTACCTTCTACGTTTCCATTTTTCCTCTACACCTTATTTGGCGGCTGATTTCAATTATGCAGTTTACTTTTTTGTGATATTACTTTCTTAAATCTTTTTAATGTTACACTGTCAGGTGGGAAAGGGTTTGCATGTATACATTATTTTTTTTAACACGCTGTCCTAACTGGTACAAGACACACATGCACACACACTTAGAACTCATTGGTATATTAAACCATATATGAATTCTGCTTGGTGTCAGTGGTGAATTTGTTGACATGTTAAATACAGCTTCCAGGCTGAAAGTGCAATGCGACGGTGTAGTTACAGGCACAGTGAATTTATCTAAACGTTGTGTATTTAGTAGTCCTTTGTACCCAATTTAGTTCCTATTGCTTCGGAATGACTACAAAGAAATCAAGGCATCTGTATCCCGGAACAGACTCTGATGTGTAAGGCTACGTAAATGTTAGCTATTATTCTACACATATTAAGTACTGCAAGAAATACTCTTTATGATTGAATTTCCTTTCACGGTACTAATAAAGTTTAATTTCCAAGCTTCCTTTTCTATGTTCTAATTTCTTTTGTGGGCAGGAAAATGCAGCATCTTGCTTTTTGGTCGTGAGTTTGTCCGTACTGTAGACACAGGAACAAGAGTCTCCACCTTGTCTTCTTTCATTCACTGGCGTCCCTTCACATCGTACAGCGGCTCGCGCATTCCTCCACTGTCTTGTCTTCTTTCCTTCACTGGCATCCCTTCGCAACACACAGCAGTCTGCACATTCCTCTGCTGTCTTGTCTTTTTTCATTCACTGGCAGCTGCTCGCACCTTTCACAGCTATGTTGACTTTTTTCCTTCACTGGCATCCCTTCGCATCGCGCAGTGGCTCGCGCCTTCCTCCACTGTCTTGTCTTTTTTTTGTTCACTGGCATCCCTTCGCATCGCGCAGTGACTCGCACCTTCCTCCCCCCCATTTTCTTGCACACACCCAGCTCTGTCTCAGCACGCAAGAGCTTCTTCTCCCCCACCCCTGACCCAGACCTCCTGTCAGTCTACTGCACTGGTGGGGTGGGACAGGGTGTGGGGGGGCCAGCTAAACCCACTCCCCAGTGCACAGTTGAGCTGCACACTCTCACCTCCCCACTACCGTCGTGGTTGTCTAAATAAAGTTCAGTCAAATGCTGGACTCCACCTCTCACGGCCAGGAACCTGCGTACTCAGTCTTTATGACCATGTCTCCTGTTAACCACAGTGTGACCACACAGGGGTCTGAACCATAAAAAACACAAACCGCATGAAGCAGGCTCAGCTTTGTTTGGTTGTGTTGAAAAATCTTCACACTGTAAAAAAAAAACAATAAAAATAAAAACCATAATCACTATTCATCCACTTTTCAAAACTGCTTAATAAGTACTGGGTAATCTAGATCCCATCCCAGGTAAAACTTGGCAGGGGAAACGTGGGTCGAGATGCCCCAAATTGACCGGCAAGAAATTAGGCAAATTTTGGGACTAATGATACTGGGTGACACTGACTGGAAGTACTGGTCATGAGCGTCACCAATGCAGAACCTCAGAGCTCTATTTCAGAAAGATCCAGGCTGGAGAGGACTGGCGTTTTTTGGAATGACAACAAGGAAGTTCTCACCCTAAGTACCCCTGCACTGGGCCTCAGGTTGGAGCGGAGCGTGGGCGTTTCCTGTCAGCTCTCCACTGCATCTAAAAGCATGAGGATGGAACAAAACAGCATCTGCGTACTGCTCTTAGTTAACGGTGCCAATCGACCAATCAGATGGGTCGGCTCTCACCGGGTCACAGAATTCCCTCCACTCATGTTTCTGCTCAGTTTGGCTCAACTTCCCTGCTTTTCCTCTTTACCACAGCCTGGCATTCCCCCCCCCCTCCCAAGTCTGGGCAGCTTAATCATGCTTCACGGCCTTTTGCACAGACGTTCACGCGTTAATGCGTCACCTGACCAAATGTTTATACATTTCACATGCCATTTATACAGCGGCGTAATTACCAAAGAGATTAACTGCTTCAAGTACAAAATGGAAACGCAGACACTTTATATTCAGGGCAGTGGGAACGTAGTGGTAAGGGAAGTGAGCCCATTTCTAACGCAAATCCCTGGGAAGGTTTGTGCTATTGTACCTTTGACCAGATTACTTACTCTCCAGCTCTGTATGTAGTAAGAACTGTGAACTACCAATGTGAAACATTTTACAAGCCAAGTGGTCAAATAAGTACCTGAAGGTTGTAGGTTCAAATCCCAAACTAAGTCATGCTATAGTACAACTGAGTGAGATACTTGGCCAGTAAAGACCATCCATCTTCATAAGCAGCCATCCAGAAACTGGAGCACATCTCAGGCAGCACAGGGCACAGGGCAGGGGACGTCCAGGATGGGACATCAGCCCAACATGACGCACACAAATAACAGAATGATGCCTAAATTCACTGACAATTTTACGTTTTACTGGAGACAGCGAGAGT